AAACTTTGTTCGTCTGCTTCAGACCAACACAGTTACCTACCTAAATCTATCAACAGCTACCAGCTGGGGTTTCTAAAAATAGATTGTTTACAGTATTTTAATAAAAGATCTGCGAATTTTAGGGCCAAAATGAATTTGATGTTGAGTCAGAAAATCTTGATTTTTAGACTTCTGCAACTCTGATTCTGCAGTGCAGGTTTTGCAGTGAAACTGGAGCCGAGGACTTTTTTCCGAGGGGGACGTGCCAGAATGGAGTTCCGGAAGCTCTTCGACAACATTATTTTTAAAAATGTTTAAAAGTTCATGAGTTTTCAGTATACAGATTGAAAACTTCATTTCCCTCTTGAGTTCTAGCACTCCCCCCCCCCCCCCCCCCCCTGAAGAAAACCTTACTTGGCGGGAAATTCTCCCTCTTCACGACTTCCATCCCTGGAGGAGGGAGCAGGAGGCGATCAGGCGCGGCTCCATTCCTAGCGACTGGATATCTGAAAGTGCACAATTTCTGCTGTGCCTCCTTCAAGGGCTGGGTGGTAGCCAGACTCATTGAAGGCTTCGGCTTGAATCAGGGACTTCAGGCATGTCAAAGTCTGCACAATGCGCTTTTCTATGCCGTCATCACCAGACCGGGTTCCACACCAGAGCTACCGGGGACTTCCAATCGCCCTGTGTCTTTTCCTTGCGATTCCAGCGGGTGTGTGGTTAGAGGAACGCTCTGCAGCGTGTGGGATAAGGCGGCTGTTCCTTCCTTTTCCTTCAGTTGTACTGCTGGCCAAGAGCCGAATTTTTCCCTGTCGCCCTTGGTGAGATTCGAACCCCTCGCTCGCCTTTCCCTCAGGAGTGCGTTTCTTCAAGCAGCGATTAAGGAGGTGACAGGGAGGCTTCCTGCTAATTCTGAGTTGTGTGCTCTCGTGCTGTTGTTCTACTGTTGGGGGTCTTCCGTGCCTTGTAAGAAGCCATAAAGCCTTCTGGGATTAAGCCAGGGGTGCCAACCTCCAGGTAGGATCTGGGGATCCCCTGAAATTACAGCTGTAGTGTTCTTTTTCCTTCCCGCTTCATCTGACCACAGGTGGGCATTGGCAAAGCCACTGCAGGGGGGGTGCAGAACCAAGTGACCAGCGCTGCCACCGCCGCACCAATCAGCTTCATGTTTTTTCAAATGGCGACTGTGGAAGGGGGGGTTGGTGAGAGTGAGCATGCGAAATGTCAGTTAGCCGACGGAGGGATGGGGCTATCAGGGAAGAGAGGAGGAGGAAGGGCGTCACGTGGATCGGGGAGGCGACTGGGCTGTCTTGCGCATGCCACTCTGAGGGGAGAGACCTCCCGGCCACGGAACCGAGTGGAGAGTGAAGGGGGAAAGGGGCTCTGATGTCACCGCCACACGTCCGAATAGCTGCAGAGAATGTTGGGGCAGGTGGAGGACGGCAACCTCCCTTCTCCCACCCACCTGTTCTCAGCCAGTGAGGGGAAAGTGGCCGGGCAAGCGGGAGGGCAAAAAGCACCTCCTGGAATTTTCGGAAACGTCCCCCCCTGTCAGGCCTTCCCCTCAGCCCCATCTCTTCTGTGGGAAATGCTGGAGGGATGAGAACCGGGGGCGGGAGGATCTGGGAGAGCCAGGTTGAGACCCCCCCCCCTCCTCCTGAGCCAGGATCCTGTCGCCTGGCCCACCTCACGGGGTTGGTGGTGGAGGGGGGGAGTCCGCTGCATCTCCGCAAGATCCTTAGAGGCAGGATGGGGAAGAGAGGAAACTACGAGTGACAGACAGATTGTAGCTGTGCTTGGCTCCTAAGAAGAAGAAGAAGAAGAGATTGGATTGATCCCCCGCCCTTCACTTGGAGTCTCAGAGCGGCTTACAAACTCCTTTCCCTTCCCCTCCCCACAACAGACACCCTGTGAGGGAGGTGGGGCTGAGAGAGCTCTTGACAGAAATGGCTCTTTTTCAAGAACAGCTCTTATCAGAACCACGGCTTGCCCAAGGTCACCCAGCCAGGTGCAAGTGGAGGAGTGGGGAATCAAACCCGGTTCTCCCAGATTAGAGTCCGCACACTTAACCACTACACCAAACTGGCTAAGGCTGGTCATATGGTGTGTGTGCTGAAAAACTACTTTATTTACTTGCAAGGATGCTGACTCATCTCCTAAAAGTGCTCTATATACAAGAAGTAGCTAATTTGTACGGAAACGTAAGATCCCCCCTCTTTTAATGGTATCCCTTTGGGGGGGGGAACAACCTTGTCTTGCCTATGATTAAATACATTTATTGGGACCTTTGTGGGTTCCACAGTAAATCAGTTGCTTTCACTCCTGGGAATCAATTGCTTTTGGTGGTGTTTTGAGTAAAAAAATAATAATATTGCTAATGCAGTTGCCTGTGTCCTTTATGAAGTTTACATCTCCGGTACCCGGCCTTACGTTTTATGACACACGTGGCCTGGCCCGACAAAGCTACATTCATGTCTGATCTGGCCCTCATAACAAATTAGTTCGACACCTCTGGTCTTAAAGGGTACAGATTTTCAGGAGGGGACTCAAAGCTCCTTTCTGCGGAGCTCCGTGGAGGATGATCGTGGCAGAGCCTGTATTAGGCATATCATGACGAGGGCTAATGCCGAGGGTGGTTCCTTCCCTTGTTGCATGCTGTCCGAGGGAGAGGGTGGAGTGGACAAGGAGAGGCACATGTCGGATGGAGGCCTTCACGGATGGATAGCGCAGGGACATAGATGGATAGCACAGGGACAATTAGTGGGTGTTGGCAATTGTCGGGACAAACTTTCTGCATCTTGTGATCTGTCTGAAAACGTCTGTACTTTGCTGAGAGAGGATAGGGTACAGACCAGCTACCCTGGTGCCGTGAGCGCTTCAGCAGTGCCCCAACATCCTGGGCTTAGTTAGGGTGGCATTGCCCGAGTACCGAAACAAGCACAACCATATGTTGTAGCCACCACACCTCAGAAGACCAGGGACCTCATGACTCCCACGTTGATTTGCACCAACGTGTTTTGTGTTTCAGGCAGAGGATCCCCTGGATTAGCTCTTTGCATGGTTCTTGACCTAAGCTCCCCACATGTCTAGTGAACACTTTGGGAGATTCCGCATCTGGCACTTGCTCCACATTTTCTCAACACTGAGGAAGAGGTGCAACTCAAAACCACATTCAAACTACCCCGGGCCAAATGCTGTGCTGACTGCAAAGTCCCCCCCTGAATGGCCATAAATCTATAACAATTCAAGAATTTGATGAATCAGCATAAACCATGTATAAGTTAACATCAAATAAAGCTCCAAAGTGTTCCACCTTTTAAATTACAATATACTGTTAGCGATACAATACATAAAACACAATTGATACACAAATAGGCTAAAGATTTAAAGACGACTTTACAATCCCAGAGAAAACTTCACAATTCCAAAAAGGACTAATAAGCACGAATTCTAACCGTCCATTAAGCAAGTAAATCCGGTCCTTAAGGCTCGAGGCAAACCATGGATGATGAACTGCAGCCAACCCACTCTCCAGATCCTCCAAGGTCCCTTCATCAGGACTGCACAGCACTGGGAGCTCCCATAAAGGGGTGTTTTACTGTTTATAACGGGGTCTGTATTTATTGGTGCAAAAATTATTTTTAATTGCTGTTTTACCTATGTATGATTAGAATTATTTTCTTTTTATTATCCTAATTCCATATTGTGATGGCCTTTGGCTATATACACAATAAAATTCTGGTATTCTGTTGATAAAGTAGTGCCTCTAAACTGCCTTATTGTACAGCAACGGGAACTCCTTCAGAACAGTGTCTCCAAACTGCCTTATATATCTTTATTCATGATGAATACGTGTAGCCTTATTCTATAGGTGTCCTCTCATCTAGAGGAATACAAAGATGGCTTTAAATCCTTAGCCTATTTGTGTATCAGTTGTGTTTTATGTATTGTATAGCTAACAGTATGTTGAACAAATAAGAGTCATTTAAAAGCTGGGACACTTTCGAGTTTTATTTGATGTTAGGTTATATATGGCCATAAATCTATGCAGAAGGTACCATAAAACCCAATGATCAAAGAAACTGAAAGTGGCATGCAGTGTAGAGGGTACCATAAAATCCGATGATCAAAGAAGGTGAAAGCACATGCAATGCAGACAGGAATTACTTTTCCATCGTGGGTTTGGTAAAACAATGAAGCGAAAAGCCAGTGCAGAATTGCCCTTTGTGCATCTGATTTAAGGGGCTGATATGAACTTCCAGCATATGGTGGGACCATCCCTCTTTTTATCTTCTTGCTGCCAAAGAGGATACCCACTGTTTTTTTTTGGGGGGGAGGGGGTGGAAACAGGTTGCTACAGTGATTATGAATTTACGGTTGCCGTCACACGTGCGAGATAGTCTGGGGGGGTGGGAAGCGAGGCTATTTGTTCCAGAGGAATTTGACTCGCATCTGCGTGATCACACAGTCCCTGGGAGCTGCGGGGGCAGCCCGCCACTGTGTGATCAGACGCAACCGTGCATGAATCTTTTTTTTTTTGCCGCATGTTTCTAGTGCACTTCAACGAGGGATCAATGATTTGCATCTCCACACCGAGTGCTCCCTATGCAGTGTGCAATGATGCACATACCGAAATGGGGGTGGGGGGGGGAAACAACAGCATGGAGTTGGGATGGCTTGATCAGACCATCCCGGTGCCATGGGAGCGCACTGGAGCGATCACACAGGGGAAAGTCCGTTCCTGGCCCGTAGCAATCCGTCTGCTACCAGACTTTCCCCGGTGTCTTTTTACCCAGCTTCTGCGGCGGAGCAAAACGGGTTGCTGACAGGTGCAGGACACTTGGCAGATGTTCCCATGTGATGGCGCCCTTAAAATCCACCCAGCATTTGTGCCTATGGCGCGGCTAATTCTGCGTGTGATCGCAGCCTACCATTCTGTGTCCAGGAATGAGAGACTGACTGATTCCTTGCCTTTTTTTTCTTTGGAATTGCAGAGGTGTATTCTTCGGGTGGTGTGAGCTATGGCCCAGTTCTATTACAAGAGAAGCATCAGTGCCCCTTCCAGAGACCGCATCCCTCTCCGCATCGTGCGAGCTGAGTCTGAGCTCTCGCCTGCTGAGAAAGCCTATCTGAACGCCGTGGAGAAAGGCGACTACGCCAGCGTGAAGCAAGCCCTGGAGGAAGCCGAAATCTACTTCAAGATCAACATCAATTGCATCGATCCCCTGGGAAGGACGGCCCTCCTGATCGCCATCGAGAATGAGAACCTGGAGCTGATCGAGCTCCTCTTGAGCTTCAACGCGTATGTCGGGGACGCGCTGCTTCACGCCATCCGGAAGGAGGTGGTGGGGGCCGTCGAGCTGCTCCTCAACCACAAGAGGCCCAGTGGGGAGAAACAGGTAAGGGGGTCTTGCCAGATGGGAAGAGCCCCCAAACCAAACCTCAAGAAACAAGTAGACTTATGGAAAACCTGGGTTTCTAGAATCAGGAAGTGGCCATCCGGGTCATCTAGTCCACCCCCCTGCTGAATGCAGGATGAGCCTAGAGCATCTCTGGGCAGTTCCCAGGTTGGCCAGCCTGGAGCGTTTTTTGTCATCTTCTGGGTGTGGAACAGGGGTCACTGGGGGTGTGGAGGGGGAGGTATTTGTGAATTTCCTGCTTTGTACAGGGGGTTGGACTAGATGACCCTGGAGGTCCCTACCGACTCTGTGATCCTATTCTAAACGGTGGGCTACTTGCACTGCTTGCGTCTTCTCCGCCCCCCCCCCCCCGCCAAAAATAGGGCTGAGCAGATCTTCTCATCTCAAAAAGAGTCAGTTATGCTTATACCAGAACAGACTTCTGTGTGGTTCATTTAACACCAAGGGATCTGAATGCAGCTTGGCGCTGAGCCGCATATCGGGGTCCACACTTGGTGGCTGCTGCCACGCAGAAGGGGTGGTTGCAGGACACTCCCCTCCTGCAGCTGGAGCAGAGACAGGCTCTTCTTGCCTGCGTCTCACAGAGGCTCTTGAGGTGCCTCCGATGCCCGCAGGAGACAATCCCCCCACCCTCCCCCCGGGCTCCAAACTGAGTTCTCCTGGGGTTCTTTGCACTTCCCAGAGGAGGGAGGAGGACGCTTGCCCTGGCAAGTTCATCTGTGAACTCCTGACTAAGCTCACCCCCAGAAGCAGGGTTACCAACTTCCAGGGAGTTCTCTTGGCATTTTAACTGATCTTCAGTTGACAGAGATCAGTTCCCCTGGAGGGACCGGCAGCTTTGGAGGCTGGACTCCGTGGCATCATCGTATCCTCTGCCCCCTCCCTAAAGTCTGCCCTCCCCAGGCACTGCCCCCAGATCTCTAGGAATTTCCCAAGCCAGAGCTGGGAATCAGGCCTGTAACTATGGCGGGGCTTTGGGGGGCTCTGCCCCCTTTCTTAAAGGCACAGCCCCACAAGAATTTCTCCTGTAAATGCTTTTGTCAATCATTTTAAAAACATTTTAAAAAGGCATGTGCTCCTTTAAGCAGAGTGGGGTGCTGAAGTTGACTAATTCCTGCACTGAGCAAGGATCCCTTCTAACTCTGTGTCAAGAAAATGGTCTCCTGTAAGAGAGTTTTTTCTGCCTAAGTGTTAGCTTTCTTGACTACAGAACTCATCACCCCCCGCCTGCCAGCTTGTTCTCAGAAGTGTTGCTTAGGCTGGCAGAAGGGGATTAACTTGCAGCAGCTGAGAACTGTCATCGGAAGTGTCTGACAGCTCGCAATTTAGAGATCTATCCTGGTAACGGCTTTCTATTGGCTAAATGTCTTTTCTTTCTGCACTGAGAACTCCAGCCCCACCAGAAAAAAATTCGCCCCACAAGCCACAAAATCGTGGCTACGGGCCTGGTGGCAAACCCTACTTCAAAGGCCCATCCGTGAGAAGCTCCTTACCACCGGTGGTGGTGGTGGTGGTGGGACCATCAAGTATAAGCAGCTTCCTTCCTCAACTCAGCAGCTGCTGGCCTCTCCATGCCCTTGAGCCGACAGTTGCGGGACAAGAAGCCAGTTTTCTTGCCCACTTATCTTAACTTTGGAGTAATGTTGATCTTTAAAATATTGGCCCAGGTGTGCTACACTGGGGACATTGCCGTGCATGGCAAAAACTGGCTCATGTGCAGGGCAGGGTTACAATGGCTGGATGCCATAGCAGCTTCTGGAGGCATGGAGGGAGGGAAGTGGAGGGTGTCTCAAGGAAGGAAAGTGTGCATAAGTGGCTGGGATTCTTTAATTATGTGTATGAAAAGTGTGTGAGAGGGTGCGCATATGTGTATGTGGGAGTTAGGATACATGTTTGCTAGGTGCTTAATCCCATGGCTGTATAATAGTTCTGGAGTTTAGATTTTCGGCCTCAGTGTTCCCCATCTATAAAATGGGTACATCTCCTCTAAATGCTCGGTTCCTTAACAGTATGCTGGTCATAACTTTGGGATATATATGCCTCGACGTCAAGTCTGTGGCCTTGGCTTCCTCCCTTGCATTAACCACTCTGTGTGGAGTTTGGATTCTTCCATTCCGCTTGGAACCTGAATTGTTATCAGCTTGTTGGTCTGCTATCGTGTGGATGATATTCCTTAGTGACCAGGGACTTCCTGACAGTTAGAGCAGTTCCTCAGCGGAACAGGCCTCCTCGTGATGTAGCGGGCTTTCCTTCTTTGGAGGTTTTCAAACCGAGGCTAGATGGCCACCTGGCAGCCCTGCTGATTCTGTGAACTCAGGCGGATCATGAGAAGGGAGGGCAGGAAGGGTTGCCTCAGTGCTTAGTTCTTGTGGCCCTTTCTTACACGCCCAGGGAAAGGCTGATGGCCACACTGGGGTCAGGAAGCAATCCTGGAGGAGGGTTTTTTTGGTCATCTTCTGGGTCACTGCGGGTGTGGAGGGGGAGGTATTTGTGAATGTCCTGCATTGAGCAGGGGGTTGGACTAGATGACCCTGGAGGTCCCTTCCAACTCTATGGTTCTATTACTTTTCAAACAAAGGCTAGATGGCCATCTGACAGCAATGCTGATTCTGTGAACTTAGGCAGATCATGAGAGGGAGGGCAGGAAGGGTTGCATCAGGGCATAATTCTCGTGGCCCTTTCTTACATGCCCAGGGAAATGCTGATTACCACAAAGAAGAAGAGGAGACTGGATTTATACACCACCCTTCACTCAGCGTCTCCTTCTCTTCCTCTTCCCACAACAGACACCCTCTGAGGTGGGTGAGGCTGAGAGAGCTCTGACAGAGACTGCTCTTTTTCAAGAACAGCTCTGACAGAACTACGGCTTGCCCAAGGTCATCCAGCAGTTGGGAGTGGAGGCGTGGGGAATCAAACCCAATTCTCCCAGATTAGAGTCCACACACTTAAGCACTACACCAGACTGGCTCTCAATTTGGGGTCCAGAAGCAATTTTTCTCCTGGCCAGTTTAGCCAGGGGTCCTGGAGGTTTTCTGCCATCTTCTGGGCATGGAGAAGGGGTCATGGGGGGGGGAGGTATTTGTGAATCTCCTGCATTGTGCAGGGGGCTGGACTAGATGACTCTGGAAGTCCTTCCAACTCTATGATTCTACATGCAGTTTGCACACACTTTAGCGGAGCAGAACGTTTTCTGTGAGCTCCGCTGCCTCAGGAGCTCAAGGACGTAAGAGAAGCCAATGGCCCATCCAGTCTAATGCTTTGTGTTACTCAGTGGGCAAAACCCAGGTGCCACCAGGAGGTCCGCCAGTGGGGCTTCACCAGACTTTTGCCAGTTTGGTGTAGTGGTTAAATGTGCGGACTCTAGTCTGGGAGAACCGGGTTTGATTCCCCACTCCTCCACTTGTACCCGGCTGGATGACCTTGGGCAAGCCGTAGTTCTGATAAGAACTGTTCTTGAAAAAGAGCAGTTTCTGTCAAGAGCTCTCTCAGCCCCACCTCCCTCACAAGGTGTCTGTTGTGGGGAGGGGAAGGGAAAGGAGTTTGTGAGCCGCTCTGAGACTCCTTCAGGTAGTGAAGGGCCATGGGGTATAAATCCAATCTCCTCCTCCTCCTCCTCCTCCTCCTCCTCATCTTCTTCTTCTTCTTCTTTCTGGAGCTGGGCACTTCTGGTGGTGCTGTGCTGTGGGACAGGAACCTTTCTCAGGAACGGCTCCCTCATTTCCCAGGTCCAACAGTTCCGGTCTTGGCTCTTTCAAGGCCGCTCATCTCCTGCACAAAACAGCCACGAGAGCAGTTTTCCACAGAAATCATTATGTTTCTTATGTGAGTTGATACCTGTGAAACTTCAGCTCAGCAGCTGTACGGATGTGTTAAAGGCAGGGGGAAGCTTTGGCCTGAAGTTGTCAGGAGCCCGGGTGTCGTCGGTCAGTGCTTGTGCCGGCAGGGTACCGATCCGAGAGACAAGGAGACGCAGCCACACTGTTGCCCGTAGGGGCTCCTGCAGAACCTCGGGGGACGTGGAGATGGTGGGAACAGCACGGTGTGTGCCGTGATATTTCTCCCGTGGAAATCCAGAAGTGACATCAGGTTGTTCTAGGAGTTGTCGGAAACTCTATGGTAAAGCCGACCTTAAAAAAATAATAATTCTCCCACCGTTGCTCCGAGTATTCGTGGGCAGCCAGGGGTGCCAGCGCAAGGCCTCTTGCCGTAGCTGGAGGCCTAGAAATAAGTAAAAAAGGGAACACAGTGCTGCCGATACCGAGAGAACAAATTAGAACAGATTGGAAACATGACATTACCTGGGAGACACGTTAGCTAGAGAGCCAGTTTGGTGCAGTCTTTAGGAGTGCAGACTCTAATCTGGGAGAACCGGGTTTGATTCCCCACTCCTCCACTTGGACCTACTGGATGACCTTGGGCAAGCCATAGTTCTGGCACAGCTGTTCTTGAAAAAGAGCAGTTTCTGTCAAGAGCTCTCTCAGCCCCACCGACTCCTCCACTTGGACCTACTGGATGACCTTGGGCAAGCCATAGTTCTGGCACAGCTGTTCTTGAAAAAGAGCAGTTTCTGTCAAGAGCTCTCTCAGCCCCACCGACTTCACAGAGTGTCTGTTGTGGGGAGGGGAAGGGAAAGGAGTTTGTAAGCCGCCCTGAGACTTCCTTGGGTAGTGAAGGTCGGGGTATAAATCCAATCTCTTCTTCTTCTTAGTTTGCTGGAAAGTCATATCAGCCACAGAAAGGTATTGATATATCTGCTGTTGAAATCATTGCCTGACAAAAGCACGAAAAACACAAGTCATCTCAGTGCCTGAATTTCTCTTTGAGTTTTGTATGACGTTGAGCAACTTTGTTCGACGTGTCTGTTTTGCATTTTGTTGTGGCTTGTCTTTTGTCCTTTGGCAGGGTACACATGTAGGTTGAAGATTTATTTCATAAGACATGCTGTACACATGTGTTCAAAGTTCTACTTTATAAAGTTT